ACATTTTAATATCATTCATACGTGGAGAAAATTTTCTTTTAAAATTTACCCTGAAAATGATGACAACATGGCATTTTAAAGAGCTATATGAGAGTTTTTTTAATTTTACCATACATTCTACTAATAATTATATTTAGTATACACTAGTAGTATGTATGTTATAATTTCAAAACATTCTCATAAAATTCTTTGAAATGCCACGTTGTCCCACGGTCGCATAATTTTCAAGATAAATTTGAAGAAAAAATTTTCTCCGTGTAGAGAAAGACCAACTAAATTTTCGATGTTATAACAGGATTGCATCTACCATATATTTGTGATTTCGTAATACTAAAAGTTTATCAATCATAAGTAAATGCACGAATTATAATTAATCAGAAACTATTTGTCGACGGGAACATTGAATCACACGGAAATTTGAACTGTATAATAGAAATGGAACAAGGTAACAACTCACCGCCGAGTATTTAATCAGATGATAAATTATTCGAAAACACTTCACCGAGATGAACATTTATCAAAAAGAAACATCCCAGAGAAGAAAATTACTCCAGCGGGAAACTTTTTTGAATTATTACACGAAAGATTTGATATCGCTTGACCTGCGATTTGGTTGATGTGATTTGTCTTGATCGTGTCCGGTCATAACTGGGTCGATATTCTTTTCACTGAATTTCCCATTGGACAGATTCTCTGTTTCACCATTTCCCTTTCGATAAATTTCTTATTCGAATCCGTGTTCACCCGATCGATTTTTATTTAGGTCACTTTATCTTTAACCAATTTTTATTTCAATAAAGTATTCACCTCCATTTTTCCGTTGCGAATGAAATATAATTTCAACAAATCCTCTGCCCGATAACTCTTGTTATTTCGCTGAATTGCGTTTCCGCAAATTCTGTGTACCTATACCGACTATTATGGCGTGAGTAATTTTGCAAGTATGAAAACGTCAAATATTTTCTTAGCTACAAAACTCACTACGAAAACGGGCAAGTTTAGTCGCGCGTAAAAAGTTATTATCCCGAGAAAATTGCTGGGTATACATCATGCTTGAGAATGCTTAATTGACTATAACAAATGTCATTAAATAAATCGTAGTAAATTAACCTTGGCTTCCCAGCAACATAAAACTCTTCATCTACCTTCACGCAAGCACCGTTATTGACATTCAAATGGAATTTGCAAAAGTATATAGAATTTTGAAACAAAAGTGTGATTACAATGTGTATATGATAATAAGGACAATGCATAATTCGCGTATGTAATATTTAATGATACCCCTTCTAACAATTCCATGTAAATATCCTTCAATCAATATAAATACAATAATCCGAAACATTCAAAATTTACAAATGGCGATATATTATTTTAAGATAAGTAGTTATATAAATGATTATAATATGATAAAATGAGGTAATATGTTCCGCATTGCTATGCATATACTATGTGTCATACGTGGAAAACAGACAAGATCGCTTGATATTTTATCGATTGATATTCTATCATTTTCTGATAAAGCAGATAATGCTATAACCCTTTCACCTGTAAACCGCTTTATCAGCTTATACTAACTTACCGACAACTCAGATCCCACATATGTTTACCGAGAGTTGATAGCTTCGAAATATTTTATTTCCAACAAGAATGGTACCTGAAAAAGCAAATAATAAATTACAATGTGCTCTAATTTCGTTTTAAACAAGTTTATTATATGCATACAAAACTAGTAAAACAAACTAATTAAAACTGTCCCATATAAATTATCCTGTGGGATACCACATCTCTAACTGAATCAACTATTCTCTCGACAATAATGAACAATATTCTAAGCATGCTACGAGATACGCGTAAATACGCAACAAATTCGTATTTAAAATTCGTTAACTTTACAGTAATATTAATAAATATCGTTGCGCCCACGCTGATGCGACTCTTTGAATTGAGTCGAATCGAGCTGTGATTGAGAAACGGTCGCCAAAAGAATTTGTATTGTCTTTCCACCCGTGTCCGTAAATAAGCGAGTTTCTTTCCGAATGCGCGGACACCATACGCAACGAGTGGCTTAGTGTAACAATATTTAGCTTCGTATTTCTCTGGGAAAAAAAGACAGTAACCCATTTTGGGGCCCACAATTAGTAATCGAATTATTTGAATTGTTCGTAACTCTAATCTTTTACGAATTTTACCTTGCGTAGCTAAAAATCGCAAGTAACTATTCTATCTATACCCAAGATTTTAAAGTAATACTAATCAATTCTCTCAATTAGTTCTGTCGATAATCAGTAACGCAAAGATAATTTTCACTTAAGAGGCACTAACCGAAATAAGTTGCTTAACAACAAAAAAACGGTCAAAATTTTTCCCAGAGTAGAGTTACGAACAATCCAAATAATTCGATTACTAATTGTGGGCCCCAAAATGGGTTATTGTCTTTTTTCCCAGAGTTCCATAAACATATTCACATAAATATATGACTGAATGTAGATATCTAAATTATTAAACTACACTAAACTACTAAATCAATTAAAATGTTTATAATTTTTTTTTAATTACTAAAATGTACTTTCTGAGATTTTTCGCGACTCTTGTTGCAATATGTAAATAATAAAATTTATTAAATTGCTTTTTCTCTTTAGCCTTTAAAAAAATAATATAAATATAGTATACTTAAACTGCAGCAATTATTCATCAATAATTTAACGTTAAATTAACATATCTAGTTAATATTAATGTTAGCAACTTGAGAAAATTTTGAGTATTATCGGTATGAGAATCGCCAAGCATATAAACAGAATGACCCTGGGTGATTTTTCATTTTTATGACAACCACCAGTCATTAAATTTTATTGTCTCTCCTCAAGTTCTCATAAAGAACTGTTGTCAGTCACAGCTTCATCAAATACCATCCTTTTATGTTCGCGATAAACTTTTAACTACCGTTTTAGATAAGAATACTTTTGTTTCATTCCAGCTCGATTTCGTGTTCATGAAAACATCATATTAAGGAATTTGATATCGTGCAGTCTAATCTCAACAAGAAATAAAGAGAAGATACCTATAATTTTGTTACAATCTTCGTTCTGTTTTTAAATCTGTCTAGAGAGAAAAGCAATTTAGAAAGATAAAAACGAAAGTATCATATCAAGATGAAACGTACTTGCCTCTCGTGCTGTTACACAGATTCTCAAGCGATTACAGTCTCTGACAATAACATACTCACTTCTAAATTATATAGATCTACATATATTCACAATCATTATATGAGTGTGTATTAACAAATGTACCATATGAGATATTCAGAATAACATTCCACATCTTGAGACATAGCAATAAAATTACATTTTGATTAAAAATCAAATTTATTTAGTGCAGTAACAATATTAAAAAACATAATGTGATGAATAAAATATTTTAAAGTATTTCGTATTATTGTATACGCAAAAAGATAGTTTTTATGATATTAAATTTTTTAAAATAATATAAAGTTATTAATAAATAAAAGCAAATATGCTGCACAGTTGAAAAATTTGTGTTTTCTTGTTTAAAAAAATACCGATTAAAATTTTTGTGTTAAATGTTCAACACATTCATGTGTTAATTTAACATATTGCTCTTGTGTTAATTGACCTCAAATAAAATCCCCAAGTAAAATTATTAAAATAACTGAAAAGAAATGTTAAAACAACATAATGTGTACTTATTTTTCAATCTAACACAATACATATGTATGTTCTACATTATTGGTCACAAGATTTATCTGTTAAAATTTACAGAATAAAATGTTGATCTTATTCTATATAATATAAGTGAGAGTGATTTCAAACCGTCATTTAACTTATTACATCTGTAAAATGTAAAAATTACAGTTTATTAAATTCATTTTGTCATTAAAAATATGTTAATTTTACACAAAATTTATTTCAAATTATTTTGAGATTTGCATTTACTTTGTATTAAAATATTAACAAAGTATTAGTTTGATCATTTAACATATTCATATTATGTTAAATTAACACAAAAATTTATGTGGACCGTTTCGGACATGTGATATCTGTTAAATTTAATACAAAATTTTCAACTGTGTGTGAAAAAATAAAATATAAATTGTTATTCTATTTCTTTAATGCATGAAGTAAATTTGTTTAGATATCTATCTCGTAATAAAATAGAACACACATTAATAACATATCAGTAATATTTTTTTAACTAAAAATACTCCAAAAAGTTTAAAAAATACGTCAAACATCATATAGGAATCCCGTAAAAGTATATGTCAAGTAAGTTTCTCAGAAAAAGTTCCGTAGGCTGCGATTTTCATTACACAATTTAATCAATAGTTCTGTCTCTTCGAATCTAACTTTGGCATTTTCTTTATTCAATAGATACTGTGATACGTTTTCTAATAACAGCACTAAATATGAGATATTGTCTATATAAATGCTCTATAACACTGTATCTCTGTAAACTGTGCAGCGCCGTGAGCAAAAGAAGAAAGAACTCAAGAGTAACAAAGCTAGAGAGCTTAAGAACTTATAGAATGAAAATTTTCTTATAGCTGCTGTATATCAATTCACAAACACACGCATTGTGTTTTAGTCAAACTACCGCAAGACACTCTGTACTATCTGAAGCGTAAAGGTATACTCGTATGTTAAGCTTCACACCAGAGTAACACTTTATTCTATTGCACATGCGCTTACAAAGAGAGGTGAAACACCAAAAAATGTGCTTTATATACTAAATATTATGACACACACAATTTATTTTTTATTATCCATTATTCTTAATGGGATATAACGTTACAACGTTAGAGGTATAGAAGTGGCTATAGTTCTTTTTCGACGAGTCACGCATTCTCTTCTGTTATTATCTTATCTCCCTTTTTACCTGTGGATTTGTACATGTGGATATAAGCATTTGAAAAAATTTCTAATTTTTAACTTAATTCCATATAATATACAGGTGTTACATAAATTTTAAAGAAAGGAAAAATAAGTACCACAATGGTATGGAAGAAAAATTTTTCTATAGACGACTCGCGCTCAGTATTATTTGAGCTGTCGTTTGAAATGGAATATCCTGAAGATCAGTATTACAGACTGAATCGTGTTTATTTATCAACAATTGGTCTTTGGCCATATAATAACTTCAAAATCAGATGTATCCGTTTCATAACACTGTTAATTCTTGTATCAATGCCTGGTGTTCAGGTATTTATATTATTTGTAATCTATTTATAATTTTATGACATACAGTCTTGTTTATTAATGCCTGTACCTCAGTTTTACTAGCATTCTCATTTTCATAATATTTATTCTCATCTGTACATCGATGAGTTTCACACTGTAGTTTACACAGCTTTTATAGAAGTCTGTGGTAGTATATGTATACATACAGCCTGAAACTTAGTGATTTGTATAAATGAGAAAAATGATGATAAAAATGTAGGCCAGCCATTAAAGAAGAAGACTGTAAATGTCTAATCTTTTCAATTTTGCGACTTTAGTGCAATAGAATTTTGTTAATAATTTAAATACTGCAAATTTCTTTTGTATCTTGTACTTCTCTTTTACTCTCGGTATTTTAATGACACTGTGTTCTATTAATTTAAGTGTTCTAATATCATATATTGTTGGGATTTTATTACTTACTCTAATCATTTCAGTGGATAAAATTATATGTCTCAGAATGTACTTATGGTCTTGTTATAGAGATATTATCTTATAATATTATTTACATAGTATGTTGTATAAAGTATATCTCATTTTGTGCTGTTGTGAAAAGTGTACGTTCATGAGCAACTAACTGAAAAATAAACCACCATATACTACAATAATACTTGAATTATATTCATCAGTAGGTTAAAGAATTCCAGGGACGCATTCGAAGTAATTGGGTTGCTTTGAAAGATAATAAAGAAATCGAGATTATAAATGAGCATGGAATCTATGGAAAATTAATAACAATATCTTTAATGAGTAAATATTAAATAAACATTTAATTAATAATTTTTGATAGAAGCAATTGTTTATAATGAATAGTGCCAAAATTATTGTATAATAATTCTTGAATAGTTTAAACTTTAAATGTAAGTCGATCATTTTGCGCGATTTCTGGCTCAAAAAACTCAGTTAGATCCAGAATATACTGAGTTATCAATCATATTCTATTATGATAACCGATTATCTTATTTCTAAAACACATATTGCACATTAAATTGAAAATACGAAATTTTTCAATCTTATTAAATTTAAGTTAAATCAGTATAATAACTGACATGACAAATATAATTTGGGCATTTGTATAAAGGTAATGTAGAGAATTGATTAAATAATTATTATAATACAATATATGTAATATTATATGAATGAAAAATTTAATGGTACTGTAATTATTTTAGTATTCGCATACAGCTCAAATACAATGGTAATTCTTCTTCAATATACTTCAATCTTTTTGGATATTATAATACCTTTAAATGCATCTCGTCCGCCCACACTAATAGTACCCGCGGAATATTTGGTTGACCAAGAGAAATACTTCTATATCATAACAACACATATAAGTATTGGAACTGCTTTTGAAACATCTTGTTTTATAGCTACTGAATCATTTTCACTAGTAAACGCAATACATGCTTTCGGGTTATTTAAAGTTGCCAGGTAAATAAATTATTACGTTTTACATATTATTTCTGTTTCTCAGCTTATTCACATTTCTATTGATTTCATATATGATTATACATATGTATATTTCAAATTAATACTATATTTCTTTAGTCAGTATTTTCATTAACATTTTTTTCTGTTTTCGTTATGTTATACAATATCTTATTAAAGTAATAATTAATAACCATTCATAATTATTTCATATTTATTTGTATAACTTTTATTTTATTTGTATCTACACTCACGGGAATTGGAAAATGAACACTACGAAGGACTTTGGACTCTGATCAAGACCATAGTATACGACACTATACGATGAAGACACCAGAGGACAGTGTATATCATCATTAATAATGCAAGGTCGTACGGTAACACCATAGTCACCATGGGACAGCCCTCTGGTATCGTTATCGTATACTACGGTTTTGATCAAGAGAGTTCTTCACAATATCCTTTCTTCAATTTCTGTGAGTGTATTATTTATTTGCAACATGAAATTAATATTTATAAAAGTATTATCAATAATGATGTACAACTTTAATACGTATACTTAATTCATGGTATACTATATTATATGTATAAATCAATTTAACATCTAAATTCTTATAGTTATCGTATAAAACACGTATTGAATGGAATTAATCCGCACATGTGTGTAACTAAAAACCAAAACATTTCTCAACATAGAATAATCGCTGCGGTGGATTTCCATAGAAGAGCAATCGAGTTAGTATCTTTTGCAATAAGCTGTTAAATTATTAACAATAAGTTAAGTTAAATTTGTCATCAACAGATCAATACAATATTCATTTCGAATTGTAATGGAAGTATATTCATGGATGTATTAAACTCATTTTAATTATATCTTAAAATAATGATTCAAAAAATTATACATTTTAACTGTTGAAGGAATAATAACATAAAATATTTTATTCTATTATAAGATTTTCTGATTTAATAAAAGTAACTTTTGGACCATCATATTTAATCATGTTAGTGCTTGGTGTGTGTTCCATAAGCGTCAATTTTTTTTACGTAAGTAATTACATACAAGGTGCTCAAAAAAGGTGGAGACACCTGTATAACTCTGAAAATATGTAAGATAGATGCCAGCGGTACTGTAACTTTCAATCCCCATAACTTGGAAAGTACTGAATGAAGAAGCATTTAATTAATTTTGAAAAGCTCTCGAGGTAATCTACAAGAATGTCCAATTAAAAATGGGAGTTTCTATTAAAAAATTTCAAGGTGATCTTTACGTGACCTTGACAATGCTCTTCAAGGTCATACTGGTATTACTGCGTAATGCGTTATTTAAAATACTGCAACTCTTGTCTGAAACATTTTTTTCTATATTCCAATGTTTTTTTCTATCTTGCATATTTTCGGAGGTATTCAGGGGTCTCCGCCTTTTTTGAACACCCTGTATAAAGCATGTCGTATTTAATTGCAATTTTTTTACACATTTTTCGAAAGAATCCATTATATTATATATAAAACCATAAGTTTTTTTATATAAATAATGCGCCGTTGCTTGTAGATAGCTCAGATAATAGTAACGAACAGAAACATTGTGGAAATTATAAAATGTAGTAGTTTAATAAGCTTTCTTATATTATATATCACAGTGGCAAATTTTGCTGGGCAAGAATTTATAAATTGTGATACACATTTCTATCGTATGATGTAAGTTAATTACAACCGCAATTATATATTTTCACAATATTTTATCGCTTTTTCAGTCATATATGTATATTATTATAATCATGTGTGTACTATTTAGTATTTTGCTTGTATTATATGGATGTAATATGGATTTTGCTTGCAATTATATAGATGTAATATTAATTGGTACAATACTCCAGTAAAGACACAAAAATTGATACTTTTTTTATTACGAAAAACAACAAAAAGTTACAAACTTGACCTATGTGGTATGTTTACGCCCTGTTTGGAAGGTTTAGCCACGGTGAGAAATCTTACACTAAATTATTTGAAATATATATTAATATATTGTTACTCAATTATTAAACCAATTAGCTACATAAACAATGTTTTGTTACAGATTTTCAGCATGTCGATTTCTTACGTTATGGTTCTTTACTCTGTATAATGATGTGTCAAAAATTATACGAAAGTTTATAATTATTTTCCAAATACGAGATTAAAATTTTACCATAAATAATGTAATACGTAGTACCTAGTAGTAGTATGCTTTATTCTCTGCTGAGAAAATACATTGGCGCTTTTTCAGGGAGCGTTCCCGAACCCTTTACACATCCGTTCCTTCCCCCTACCGCGGCCTGACCATAAGCGACCTTTACATATTTTTTAACCCCCCCTCCCTTCGACCCTCCCCCTACCCATACCCCTCCCTCTTCCGTTTCTCTTTCTTTCTTCCTCTCTGTCCTCCTTCTGTCATCCTTCTTCTCTCCATCCTTCCTGTTTTCACCTTTCCTTCCTGTTTCCACCTGTCACTCTCTCTTGCTTTCCTTCCTTTTTGCTCCACCTTTCTCTCTTGCCTCCTCTTTTCTTCACCTCCAGCTCCTTCCTCCTCCCTATAACCAGATTCAAAATTAATACACTTTACTTTACTCACTAACCTCTTCTTCGTTTCTCCTTCCTTCCCTTTCCCCCCTATCCACCTCCATTCCTTTCCATCTACCCACATCCTCCTGTTCTCCACCCATACCTCCCTTCCCTTTTCCCTCCATTCCTGTCTCCTCCTCTCTCCTTCTCATTCTCCGTTGCGCCTTTCCTCCTTTCCTCCTTCGCCTTTTGTTTCTCCTATTCTCTCACTCTCCTCTCTCTCTTCTTCTCCTCCCTCTCCTCTTCCTCTCCTGCTTCTTATCCTTCTCTCTCTCTCTCTCCTTTTCTTCCGCTCTCTCCGCTCTTCCGTCTCCTCCTTGTCCGTTCCCTCTGCTCCTCCGCTTCTCACCTCTCGTTCTACTCACTTTCTTCCTCCCCTTTCGTTGTCCGTCTTCCTCTCCGTCCCCCTTCACCTCCTCTGTCTCTCCTCTACCTCCCACCCCCTCCTCTCTCCTCCTCCTCTTCTCTCCTGTCACCTCCTTTCTCTGCCTTACTCTCCTCTGGATTTTTTCCTTCCCCCTCCTCTCTTCTCCTCCATCGCTCTCCCCCGCCGGTCCTCTTCACTGCCATCCGTTTTCGTCCGCCAGCTCTCTTCCTGCACCCTCGCCGATCGACTTTCCGTTCTACTATAATCGCTTCCATCCTCTCCACTCCTGTCGTCTCCTCTCTCCGTCTCGCTCTCCACTTCGCCTTTCCTCCCTTCTTTCTCCTCTGTCTCACTCCTCTCTCTCTCCCGTTCATTGTCTCCGCTTCCTCTTCCTCCCTCTCTCCCTTTCTCCTGTCTCCGCTTCTCTCCTCTCTCCTTTACTCGTCTTTTCCGTCCTGTCGCCTTCTCTCTTTCTCACTCTCCGTTGCACATTTCCTCCTTCCCTCCTTCACCTTTTCTTTCTCCTATTTTTTCTCGCTCTCCTCTCTCTCTTCTTCTCCTTCCTCTCCTCTTCCTTTCCTGCTTCTTATCCTTCTCTCTCTCTCTCTTCCTTTTCTTCCGCTCTCTCTGCACCTCCGTCTCCTCCTTGTCCGTCCCCCCTGCTTCCTCCGCTTCTGCCTCTCGTTCTACTCACTTTCCTCCACCCCTTTCGTTGTTCGTCTTCCTCTCCATCCCCCTTCACCTCCTCTGTCTCTCCTCTACCTCTCACCTCCCTCCTCTCTCCTCCTCCATTCCTCTCTCTCTCCCGGTCCTTGTCTCCGCTTCCTCTTCCTCCCTCTCTCCCTCTCTCCTGTTTCCGCTTCTCTCCTCTCTCCTTTACTCGTCTTTCCAGTCCTGTCGCCTCCTCTCTCTTAACCTCTCTCTCCTTCCAGCTCTCCCTTCCTCCTTTCTTACCTCCTCTCTCCGTCTCTCTCACCTCTCCCTCGCTCCTCTCCTCTCCTACTTTCTTCCTTCTGTCTTCTTCTCCTCCACCTTTCCTTCACAATCCGCCTCCGTATCCTTTTTCACCTCTGTCGCTGCCTTTTCTTGGTCTTACCGCTCGCTTTTCCACCTGCACTGCCTGCCCCTCTCGTGCGCCTTCTGTACTCCCAAGCCCCTTCCCCTTCCACCTCCTCTTCCGCTGGATCGACTGCTCGAACTCGAACACACTTCTCTTCTCCCGTCCGAGATCTTCTGTCTCCCTTCCTCCTCGCACTTTCCTCTCCTTCCATACCTCATCCTGCCGAATCGATCTCTCGAACTCTCCAGCCAATCTCCTTTCGCTCTCGATCTCTCGCTTCTCTCCACCAATCTTCTTCCATAGACTTCTATAGACGGACCCTTTGTACGAGGGGTAACTGATAATCGCGGTAAGGGGATCACTCGTCTGACTTCGACTCTTTCCGGTGAGATTTGGTAATATTCGGTTCACATTTCCAATACGTGTGCACACGTATATACGGCGCGTTGCTTGTGTGCGAGCGTGCGCGCGCGCGTGGCCGAACGAATCATCCCCTCCAACTTGGAGTGGAGATGATCCTGGATGGGGATTGGAAATGTGAACCGAATATTACCGAATCTCACCGGAAAGAGTCGATGTCAGATGAGTGCCTCCGCGCCCCGAATATCAGAACCCCTCTTGTCCAGAGTTGTAGCTAATGCTCCGTCTATAGAAGTCTATGTCCTCTTCTCTCTCCATGTCTGGTCTCCCTCCTCTGCTCCTCTCTCTCCTCCTTCCTCCTTGTTCCAAGATCGCCGACTCATGCCGTTTCACCTTTTCCATATCGATTTCTCTTCCGCCTTCCGCTAATTCTTCTCGCCTCCATGTCCACTGGTTCCTCTCCCGTTCCTCTCACTCTCACTTCCTCCTCCTTCCTCACACTCCACCTTAAACCTCACTTTCGACACTTTTCTTACTATCTTCTTTCACCAGCCTCTTTTCTCCTCGCCATCTTTACCCCCTCTCTCAATAATGTAATACGTAATAAAGTTAATAAAACAAGAAAAACCATTTAATTTACAAAAAATACTTCCCAATTTTATTAATTAAAATATTTATGCCATTTTTATTTATTATATATATTATTTTATTATATTTTTATATTTTTATTGTATATTTTTATTTTATTTATTATATATTATTTATTATACAGAGTGTTTATAATCGCAGCACAAATGTAATTATAGTAGTATAAGCATAATAAAGTAAAAATTGTATTTATTAACCATTTTTGTAGATTATTGTTACATTAATGCCATAATATAAAGAAATTTAAATTTATTTTTTAAACAACTAAGAAAAGAAATAAATTCGAATTATAAGCATTTAGCAGATAGCAATGTACTGATTAAAAACGTAGAAGTTTTGTATATACATATGTATAGTATGTATAGGTTACTCTACCAACAAGTTTTCTTTGTTTGAAAGAGAAAAAGTTTAAGACTAGTATGAAAAATAAAAGATAACAAATAACACTAAATAAAAGTGTGTTATAGAAACTTGTAAAGTTTGAATCAAATTGAATCATTATATCTGATTGTGAGTTCAATTTAAATTCAATAAATATAGAAATTGAATTATTTTTATTACAATTTAATTATTATCCAAAGTTATTTATTAACCGAATTTAATTCGATAGAAACTAAATTAAACGATTAGGCAATTAGCAGTTGCCTGAAGATTTCGGAAACTCATATCTTACTAACAAATACATTTTAGATCTGACCAACTAATTGCAAAAATATAGAAAAATTTTTAGTTTTACGACATTCGTCGTGTTGACATCACATGATTACATGCATTCAGTATGTGCCAAGTTTTTTTAACATTATAGTGCCATTAAATAAATCTCGGCAAATCGAGTTATTATTTCAAGTTCAATATTTTCTTAATTGGGAGAAATATTATCACACAACTCACTTTTTCACTTAAATGTAGTACTTATCGTTACTACCATTACAATTCTATCCAATGAATCGTTTTGTTTAATACCATGTACGCATTTAAAATATTGACAATACCTTAAAATACCTTAAAATTACTAAAACTAAATCACCTGGGTAAATATCGTACATCCTTTCAATCGATATACCTTTTAGTTTACGTTTTAGTTTCTATAGTTATCGTATGGAGCGTATAATCGATAAAAGTGAACCGAATCCTGTCATGGGAAAGCATTGCGTTTTTCACGACAATATACTTAGTAGCTGCTGGTCGTAGGAGAGCAATTGATTGTAAGTCAGTGTCATAACATACAAATTGATGTTACATATTGTGTGTAATATATGTATTTTGTTACATAAATATATTATTAAATTTTCATATAATTATATGTATAATCATTTCATATAATCAAAAATAAAAATATCTAGAACTAACAATGTATGAGAACACGCCTAATCCCAGA